AGTAAAAATCAAGTATTTCTTTTTGGAATAGGTTCTTCTTGATGTCAATCTCTATGCTTATGCATCATACCATGAATATTGTCAAGGTTCAAAATTGACACATAATTTTGGAACTTCTTTTTTTTTTTTTTAGTTGACAATGCATTGTCAAAATCTTGGAAACTTGTGAAAACTTCTTCTTGTATTTTTTTTTTTAAAGGAAAAAAAGTTACAATTTTAAATGAATTTTCATTAAATGTTGTTAAATTTTTTGCAATGAGAACAAAAACAGGAAACGAAAGTGTTATTAAATGGGCCCTTAGTTTTAGGCTATAATTTCCATTTGCACATTAATATTTTGTGTCTAATTAAGGCTAGAGTGCTCTGGTATTCCCTCCTTTTAGCTCTGTTGATGGACAATGCTTAAAGGATGTAAATTATGAAGAATATGAGCTTCTTGTTAATCCATGAAACATGAAAAAAATGATCGAGTGAGTCTGTCACCGAAGGGCTTGAGATCAGAATTATGGTTGATTAACAAATCCCAGTTACAATTATAGTGAGATTTCATGTTCAAATCTAGTGACAGCAGATAAAAAACTGGTTAAGGCATACCTGATTAAAATATCATGGTTGAGGTGTGAGCTCATGTACCAAATCTGTTTGAAAGCATATAACAATTCTTGTTCTATCAAAAAGAGAAGAAAAAAGGACCTTCTATTTTATTGTGATTTATTTATAATTTAATTTTGTGACTAACTCCATCTATAAATTTTATGAAGGTTGGCATTGGAATGTCAATGGAAGGTATAGAACAAAATCCAGTTGTTTATGATCTTATGACTGAGATGGCATTTCAACACAAAAAGGTTAATGTAAAGGTAATGTTAAGTTCTTTCTCAAAGCTCTGCAAGTTGCATGCATTATGACATGTATCTTCCACATTTTGATTATAGAAAGTTAAGATGAAATTAAATCAAGTTAAAGTTTTCTAGACACAAACCTCTTTATTATTATGGTAAGTTCTTATATGCATTTAACTTCCATGGGGTTTGTTATTTATTGGACATCCTTGCTTTAGTAGGAATTTTCATAAGCTGTTTTTCATCCTGGAAGGTAACTAAGGCTCCGTTTAGTATGGCTGTGGTTTTTGATTTTTATAAATTTTGCAACTCTAAACAAAAAACTCATTTATTTTCATGTATTTTTGTAACATATTACTATGATTATTAGATCTATAAGAACAAAAATAATTTTAATACCATTAAACAAGTTCATATTTTGTTAGTGTTAAAATTTATCTTAAACAAATTGTTAGTTTTTTAATTTTAAATTTAAATTCTAGTAGTTACAAAATTTAAGAAAACCAAAACTAAAAACAAAAAATGACAACCATACTAAATGGAGCCTAAAATTATTATTATTTTTTAAAAAAATGGTCATTATATGTATTATTAACGCTTTGCTGACTAGGGGAAAAATGGAGAAGATACAGAAGGAGGTGGAAAACGCTTGGTTACAACAGGCTGTACCTATCATGTCAACGCCCTTTGTTTTTCTGGCCTTCCATGTCAACACCCTGATCTGCTGGAGGTAATTTGTTCTTTAACTTTAAGATTCATATGCCAAGCCTGGGGGCTGAGTGGATTTTATTAACATCTCTTACATCATAGTAACAAAGTAACAAACTATGCATAATCATTTACTAGTGGACATTTGATCCTTTTCTTCTGAGCTTTTCCTGTAAGTTTATCCATTTTCTAGAATAGACCATCCAGTGGAACAAAATGAGAGGCGGTCTCTAATTCATCATATAATGAACATTTAACTACTCTCTAGGTCTATCCCTTTAACTACTACCTACATGTTGGAATAATATCATTGTAAATTCTTCGTTTAATTCTGGTGTTGATTGCCCACTAGGTCAGTTGTGGTTAAAATTTTGTTTTAAAACCAAAACCAAGAACTCACAACCTTCCTTTCAGGCATGGATTGATCAATATCCAGCAAGACGTTATGGTCAAACAGTTGCTTTAGTACAAGATGCCTGGAATATATTATATCACACAATCTACAACTGCACTGAAGTTGCCTATGTAAGTTCCCTATCTTGTGGTTTTAGTGTAATCATCTTGTAAGTTCTGCAATGTTAGGGTTTCTCTTCTCAACTTCCACCCTCTTGGATTGATGTTATCTTGTTTAAGTGCGACCTAAAAATGCAGCTTATGTTCAACAATGTTCTTTCTATCTGACCTTAACACATCTACATTTATTTGTGCACATCATATGATATAGCTCTGTGCAGCGCATAAAAGCATAACTGACAATTAGAACTATGCCATAACCTCGGTGATATGAGGACAGGATAAAAACAGGGATGTCATTGTAGCTTTTCCAGATGTTGATCCATCATTTATTTCAATGCCACATGAAAGAAACCAGAACTACAGGGGACCAATGTCAAGAAGAGCAGTCTTAGAGGAGGAAACAAGTTCATATGATCTTCCTCATCTATGGTATTTGACTTCTGAAGTAAGACATGCTTTAGAACTTTTTATTCCAAGTTGGGATAAATTATCATCAAGTAGCACTTACAGGTAACACTGTCTTGCTGAAGAAGAACTCATAAATTGTGTCCACTCTTTTTCTTGTCATATATTTCTGAAACTACTGTTGTTGCAGATTGTCAGTCTTAATCTCTCTTTTTCTCTATGGTTTGGCTAAGCTTGTTTTTGATACTCAGGTATGATTTGGTTGACCTGACTAGACAAGCTTTGGCCAAATATGCAAACCAGCTCTTCTTGGAGATTATAGAAGCATATCAGTCAAGTAATATCCATGGAGTTGTCAGTCTCAGTCAGAAGTTTTTAAACCTTGTTGAAGATATGGACACATTATTGGCATGCCATGATGGATTTCTTCTAGGACCTTGGCTAGAAAGTGCTACGCAACTTGCAAGAAACAAAGAACAAGAAAAACAGGTTAGAAGCCGTTTTATACATATCCTAATAATAATTCAACTACTGAGTAGATTCTGATCATTTTGGTTTGAAGTCATCTCTTCTGAAAATACCGTTTGAGTGGAATGCAAGAACTCAAATAACCATGTGGTTTGACAACACAGAGGAGGTTGCAAGTCTACTCTGTGATTATGGTAAGAAAATTTACACCCCTACTGGCAGTTCCTACCCATATGAGATGCCGAACCAAAAAAAATATATATATATATATATATATATATTTATGTGAATTTTTATATCCCCTCAAGTTATTGTGCATTGAGAGCGAGCAGGAATCCACATTCTGTTTATAGTGCTGGATTGTGGAAATTGTCTATTGCAATGCGTTTTCCTAATCCACCTTTAAACAAGTTCCCTTTGTTCCATTTAATTTGGGTAACAAATACTGGAGTGGACTTCTACGAGATTATTATGGCCCTCGAGCAGCTATATATTTCAAAATTTTGATAGACAGTTTGGAGAGTGGCAGTGGTTTCCAGCTGAAGGACTGGAGGAGGGAATGGATTAAGCTGACAACTGACTGGCAGAACAGTAGGAAGACACTCCCTGTGGAAAGTATAGGAGATACGCTAAATACATCACGGTGGCTTTATGCTAAGTACTTGCAAAGTCCGAGCACATATGATCACTGAATGACTACAAACCGCAGAATCATAAATCACATTAATTCTTGTAAGGAAAACCATTCAGGAATCGCTCAATGTAGTGCCTATCCTACTGAAACTCCCAAACCTTTTCAGTTTTTCGTATGTGATTGAACAAGTTAAGCTAACTTCAATTAAGACCTTTATAAGGAGTTCAACCTTTTTCAACAATTAGGATATAGACGTACGACTTTTGACCAAAAACCACAATAAGTTCTCAACTGCCTTCTCGTGAACAACCCTGCTTGAGAATCAGTTGTACCCAGTGTCCAAATTGTAGTCTAGAGAAGCGTTCTCGGCGGTGGGCTGGGCTCAAGTCCACTGGAAGGAGGTGCTGAAGAGGGTGAGAGCCCTGTCGTGTCAGGATCCTGTCGCAACATGAGTCACTGTCAACAAGTCGGGTTGCTCAAGAATGCAACCCCAATCAGACAATAAATTTCGTCCAAAGCTAAATACGGGCAAAAGACCAGTAGCAAACAAGTACCGTGAGGGAAAGATAAGAAAGACTTATTTTTTATTTTTTTTTTTTGAACAGAACGAAATTGATTCATTTCAAACTCCGTTATACGGCATCTACAGGAAATAAATAGTAAAATTACAACTGGAGCAAGAAACTAGAGTAGACCCATTTTCAGAGG